ATTGTATTTTACCTTTGTCCCATTGGCCATTTTTTGGAAATAATAATAAAGCTTGATTACTTGTTTTTTTATATATTTCATGTTTCATAAAGTCCCCTGGGGAATCCTTTGACCTCTTGGTTGCCTTTCTTTTGTACTATGTATAGGGATGCTGGCAGTATCACAACCTTACATTATTGGCTCATTATCTGTTTCTTGTAATTGGTTAGTGTTTGTTTATCCCAGAGAAAACAACTTCAGCAACAATACAGATTTTCAGTCACTAGTGAATATCAGTGACAAAAGACTGTGCAGTTCCATATGTGAACAACTATAAGCTGTGTTGTTGGAAACTCTTCTGCTTTCTCAGGAGCTGGGAGACAATGTGTGAGGTCAGGCAGTGGAAAGGAACAGCAACTGTCATGGATCCTGTGACTGGTGACCCCTGACACTCAAGCTGAAGGGTCGGGCTCAAACAGTAACTCTAAACAAGCCCTCATTCACATGAGCCGCCTGCGTTTGTTTTTATGCAGAAGAATCAGATCTAGGAAATATGAACAAAGATAATACTTCCCAGATCAGGTTCTCCAGCATTTACATGTACATTCATTATAGTCTCATTGGGAGTATCTAATCTGCCCCTGGATGCAAGGATTTCTATTTTCTCCAGCCACAGATAAACTAAATGCACTGCAAGTAAACACACAGTGTGAATTAGATCACTGAAAATTATTACACGTATTTATATATTTTTTGTATCCTGTATGTAGACACTACACATGCCTAAACTGTATCGCTCTGTACACACAGTTGTTCATGCCTATTGAGACACAGTTTCTGTCTTTACTGTGTATCAGTGGTCTCCAAACTGCAGGCCATTGCTTGCTTTTATCTGGCCCTTGGGGCACTATTCTATTCACTGACACCAACATATGGGAAAATGTTCTCCCACTGCCACCAATGAAGGGGCACAATTCCTTCCAATGACACTAAGCTTGGGGCACTTTTCTTCCCTCTGACACCAACATATGGAAATATGTCATCCCCTTGACACCAATGAAGGCGCAAAATTCCTCCTAATGACACCAACGATAGAGCAGTGTTCCTCCCAATGACACAAACAATTGGGAATATGTCCTCCCCTTGAGACCAATGAAGGGGCCAAATTCCTCCTAATGACACCAACAATGGGGCAGTTTTCCTCCCAATAACACCAATGAGGCGGCACTTTTCCTACCACTGACACCAACGATGTGGCATTGTTTAGTTCCACTAAAACCAGGACAATTTCTACTCCCACTGGCCTCAGTCCGGCCCCCCTGTGGTCTGAAGGACAGTATACTGGCCTGTTGTTTAGAGTTTGGGGACCTCTGTTCTATATAATTACATTGCATTTCTTTTTTATATGCAAGACTGGACATTTCAAGTGTTACTAAACCCAGGACCCTGCATTCACTATATCCAGTCTTCCACAGCACACAGAACATGGAAATGCAATTATTTTAGTTAATATAAACTGCTTAATACCTTTTCTTATCAGCAGTTAGCGCAGTCTTTTGATTTCCATCTGTGTGCAGCAGAGTACTGGTTAAAGCCTGCAGGAGGAATTTTCATTCTCCTCTGACTGCCCTGTGAGGCTGCAGGACCCCTGACCCTCTGTCTGAACAGTGCTGATTGGCCCTGTGCTAATCACATGCACCCTCTCAAAAACTCTCTAGCAATACATACCAAAATGAGCATGTGCAGCTTGCCCCCAAGGCTCTGTTCTATCAGTAGATGGACTGGGGACAGCAGAAGAGAGAGGATCAGACTGCAATCAAAATATTTTTATGAAGACAGGATCAAACAGCCTTTTTATGTGGCAGTGGAGGGGGGTGGGATATACAAACAACCAAAACTTCCCTTTTTGGGTGAAGTTCCACTTTAATGCTAGTGACAGACTGCATCAGAAATATTTTTATGTTGGTCACTGTTACACATTAGGGGTCAGTTCACACCATGAATTGCACAGGAACATGCTGTGCGTTCCTGTGCGATTCTCATGCAGTTCAGGTGAGATTCCATCCCATGCATTTGAATGGACTGAAAGCATGCTGGACTGCAGCAAAACTAGTGCATGCACCGCTTTAAAAAACGCACTGCAACTGGATTGTATGGTACTACTGTACCATGCAATCCGGTGAAGAATAAAACGCACTGCTTTTGCCACCTGTTTTTGGGGTTCAATTAACATTGACACCTACTGCAGATCGCAACTGTAGTAAATTATTAACGCGGCACGGGCAACACCCATGGAAAGCAGGTTTCCCGTACAGCGTTCTGGTGTGAACCGGCCCTAAGACAGAACATTCTGATTCTTCCATAAACCCAATTGTGACCGGTTATCTTTTAAAGTGTAACTAAACTTTTTTTTAGCTTTGGACAGAGCAGAGAGGGATTAGAACACTGTCAGTTTTTATTGCTCTCCACTAAGGAGATTCAGCCTCTCTATTTGTCCTGTTTACCATTGTCATTGAAATAGATAGTAAAGAAAATTCCAAATTTTGGGTTGTCCCCAGGAAAGCATTTGGAGGAGAAATCTTCCAATAGGGGTCCCCAAGGGATTCCCTTAATTTGAAGTGATTTTTTCTCACTTCCTGTTTGGCTATAGGACAGGAAGTGAAGGTAAATCTCCCCCATGGGACACAGATGGCAAAAAATAAACTGACGGGTTATAAACCTCCCTTACTCTATCCAAATTTGAACAAAAAGTTTTACCTATAGTTCTACTTTAACCACATCCCGATCGCCCTATAGCAGAAATACTGCTACAGGGCGGCAGGGGAGTGCAATATCACGCATATATACGTGATTTTGTACATCTGGGTAGGGGGTGCGGGCCCTACCCGCGTCGCCATTCACGGCCGCAGCTGTCAATCCCTAGGTCCCACATGATTACCAAGCATCTCCGACGGGGAGGAGGACTGCTTTGTTTACTAACAGTCCTCCCTGTCAACTTGGGCACAGCCATCCAGAGCAGTGTTCTTACAGTGTTCTTGCAGTGTACTTACAGTGAAGCACCAACACACTGCCCTCCCAGTAAAACACTCCCAGCAGACAGTTAACCCTTTGATCGCCCCTTCCTGCCGAATGCCATTAGTACGGTGTCAGTGCTTTTTTTCCCCATCAGTGACACCAAGTCAGTTCCCCCCAGTGTCCGAATGCCTGCCGCAGTCCCGCAATAATTCGCTGATCGCAGCCATTACTAGTAAAAAAAAATGAAAAAATCCCAGTATCTATGCCATTTGTAAATGCTATAACTTTCACGTAAACCATTTAATTTACATGTATTGGGATTTTTCTAAGCAAAAACATGTAGCAAAATACATTTTGGCATAAGTTTATGACAAAATTTGATTTTTTAAACATTTTTTTTACTGGACATGTTTAATAGGAAAAAGTCAAAATTATAGTTTTTTTTTTTCTCAAAATTGTCGGCCTTCTTTTTTTTTATTGCTCAAAAAAATAAAAAACGCACAGGTGAGCAAATCAAGCTGAAAGAAAGCTCAATTCTTGGGAAAAAGGATGTAAATTTCATTTGGGTGTAGCATTGCATGACCGCGCAATTGTTGGTTAAATTAACGCAGTGCCGTAACGCAAAAAATAGCCTGGCCAGGAAGGGGGTAAATCCTCAGGAGGGCAAGTGGTTAAGTCCTCATGCACACTAGGCATTTGCCAAGCTCTCCTGAACACCTTTCACCTGGCAGGAGAAAAGAAGTGTCAAATATGGACATAAAGACGCATTTTTGTAAATGCATTTAGGAACGTCAAGCACTTAGGAGTGGATTCATTGCATTGGCCAGAATATTAATATATCCTGTTCATTGAAATTAATTATTGCTCAAGTGCTGAACACGCCTAGCATTTAGGTTTTTCTGCCTGTAAATGCCTATGTGTACTTGGACACACAGGCTAACACTGAGGGGCATTTAGAGGCAGAAATAATGACCAAAACTCCTAAAAGTGGCGTTTTTAATGCCCAGTGTGCATGAGGCCTTAAACTTTCACTCACAAGATAAAATTCTGATCGACTACAAAATACACTTTCACTATTGCGAAGATTACAACATAAAACGAATATGCACTGTCATCAATGTAGTTTGAATGTGAAGCTTTATTGAGCTTGGTGGCCGGGCACAAGGTTTGCAATGTTGTGTAAACACAGAGAAGTGTCCTAAAAATGTCACAGGGCTGTGCGATGTCTGGTGTGAAGCGCACACAGCTTGCCAGCCCGGAGCTCCTTCTGTGACATTACCACGTGACCTGACAGATAATATTCCACAAGTGGCCCATTGTCGGGACACAGGAAGAGGAAACAGCTGCTGTCAGAAATGACTAAAATAAATCCCATTTTCTCTCCCCGTGTCCGATGTGTGCCATTCCACCCAGTGTCTAGGCCGCAGCCTGAGCCTCTCCAAATACGTAGAGTGCCCTGGACATCCTGACAACGAATAAAACACAAAGAAGGCATCAATGGCGTGACAGAAACCCGAGCAGAGTTGTAAAAAATTCATGTGCCATTAAAATGTAGATTAAAAAAATAAACACGAGACCCAAGAAAATAGAAAAATCCCCACTGCCTGCCAACATTTTACAATTCCATCCAAGGAAACATTACAGCATGGCCGTGGTATATCAGAAACCAAATCATGCTAAAAATAAGTATCTTGAAAAGTTATAAAACTGAGATTATACCTATTTTTAGATTTTAAATATTTATAGATGTCATGTTAATTTCATTCATACTAATGCTTTTTATATCTAAAACCTAAAACAATTAAAGCTCATCTCTTGCCATACCTTTTTTTTTTTCAATAGAGAGGGCAGGAGTTGGAATTTCTGTCAGTATTTATTACTTTCTGTCAGAGGAAATTTCCCCTGACTTCCTGTCACAGTGACACCAGGACAAGAACAGACAGGGTGCAGGTGTTGTCAAAGTACGAAGACGGGGCAAAAAACAAAAAATTCCAGATAGTCTAATCCAGGCCTTGGAATTTCCACTCGCCTGCTCGCATTGGCGAGTGGAAATTATGGTGGGGGTGAGTGTGTCCCCAGGGCCGTCTTGCTGAGCAGGCTCGGAACTCAGGGCTGGCTCCGTCACTCGCACTGGGAGCCCTCACACTAATTAATAGTTGAGCAAAGTGAAAGCAAAGGAAGGAGTGTGTGCTGTGCTCTCTGCCTCCCCCTAGAGTGCAGTACCCGGCTCTGTGAGTGAAGGTGACAAAGTACTGCAACTTTTTATAGGGCTGTGTGTGTGTGTGTGTGTGTGTGTATTTGTATGTGTGTGTATATTTGTATGTGTGTGTGTATTTGTATGTGTGTGTGTGTATTTGTGTGTGTGTTTGTGTGTATGTGTGTGTGTATTTGTATGTGTGTGTATGCATGTATGTACATGTGTGTATCTGTACATGTGTCTGCTTGTGTACATGTGTCTGTGTGCGTGTACATGTGTGGGTGTTGGTGTGTGTATATACGTACATGTGTGTGTGCATGTACATGTGGATGTATGTAAATGTGTCTGTGTGTATGTACATGTATGTGTGTCTGTACATGTGTCTGTGTGTGTATACATGTGTCTGTATGTATACATGTGTGTGCGTGTATGTACATGTCTGTGTGTGTACAGGTGTCTCTGTATGTACATGTGTCTGTATGTAAACCTACATGTATGGGTGGTTTGGTCAGGTTCAGGATGATGTGGTTATTATGGGTGGTAGAGTATGGGGCATTTGAGGTATTGCTGGGTTGGATAGTAGGTAGGATATGCTTGGTAGAGTTAAGGTTTTGTGAGTGAAAGATTATGGGGGGTTATGGTTGTATGCGGTGCATGGTCTAAGTATGATGGAGTGTTTAGGGGGACATTGGAGGCCCTGATGTAATGTGGGGGGACTCTGGGGACCTTGATGTAATATGGGGGGACTCTGGGGACCCTGATGTAATGTGGGTAACATTTAACAGTGTCATTTCATAAAATAATTTACAAGGGCGTGTTTAGGGGCGGAATTAGGGGTGTAGCAGGGTAGGGGTTGGGTGGGGCAACTGGTGGCGAGTAACACTTGAAATTTTAAGCCCTGGTCTAATCCCCTACTTGCAACCTGAGGACCATATAAAGACCCTTGATTTTGAAGTGCAGCCCTCTGGCCCCAGCAGTCAGTAGTAAAAGTGCTGATTTGTAAAGGAGCCTTTCATGACAATGAGCTCTAGCAGTTTCATGTAACATGTTCCTAGTCTTTGACTGTCTCCTACCGCAAGATCTCAGTCTCCAACCACTCCTATACAACAGTCTCTGACAGTTTCCTCTCGTAGGTCGTCTCTAGGACAATCTTCTGCAGCATACAATGTTAAATGCAGCCCTTTGATGACAGCAGGGGCCCCTATACCTTGTAAGCTGACAATCACTGGTCTAATCCCTCCCCATTCTTATAAACACTTGTGATTTTCTATATGCTATTGCCCCCATCAGAAAAATATACAGTCAAGTCCTGTATTTGTGACACCCTGTCATCAGTACAGAAGAGAGGGTATCCCCAACTGGGATGAAGACTCCAATAACATCTGACAGGGGAGCTAAGGCTCCATGTACACTGCAGCTGAAACTCACGTTTAGGAGCTTTTCTGCGTTTTTTTCAGCAGCCCCTGAACTCGCCTTAATGTTTTCCTATGTGTCCATGTACACTATGTCGTTTACAGTCAGATGAGTTTACAATCATTTTTTTGAATGCCCCAAACTTGCGTTCAGGATTAGATATTATCAGCGTTTCAAACACCAAACGCTTGATACACAACGCTTTAGCAAATTAAATGTCATTCATGAATAATAACACTTGTCAAAAATATGTTTCATCCCTTTCTTTGTATTCAAGCTGGGCAATCCATTCTGATCCAGGAAAAGTTAGATATCATCAGTCCCCTTCACTCTGCATACCATATTTACTGCGCTGACAGTTCACAGAGTTTTGCCCTCTCCTTTTATGGACAGTTTACCCGTACGGATGTAATCCTTAGAGTAAACTTATGTCTTTACACCACCTGTGCCGACTACATCCCAAACTGACTCATACATGCCACCCCCCCCCCAGCAGTCATCTGTACCCCCTACCCTTGTATGTATGACTCTACTGGACAGAAGAAGGCAAGGTCTTATGGACAAGGAAATTTGTGTGTGTGTGTGTGTACACATACACACATTGCTCAAAAATGTAAAGGAACACTTTACATTTTTTTTTCAAAACACATCAGATCTCAAAGGGGAAAAATCTCTTGCTGGATATTTATACTGATATGGACTGGGTAATGTATTAGGAACATAAGGATGCCCCATCATTTGATGGAAATGAAAATTATCAACCTACAGAGGACTGAATTCAAAGACACCCTGAAAATTCAAGTGAAAAAATAATGCAGCAGGCTAGTCCATTTTGCTGAAATTTCATTGCAACAACTCAAAATGGTACTCAGTAGTCTGTATGGCCCCCACATGCTTGTATGCCTGACAATGTCGGGGTATGCTCCTAATGAGATGACAGATGGTGTCCTGAGATAGTTTCTCCCATATCTGGACCAGGGCATCACTGAGCTCCTGGATGGTCTGAGGTGCAACCTGGCGAGGGGATGGACCGAAACATGATATCCCAGAGGTGTTCTATTGGATTTAGGTTAGACAAGCATGGGGGCCATTCAATAGTATAAATGCCTTCATCCTCCAGGAACTGCCCGCATACTCTCGCCACATGTGGCCAGGCATTGTTGTGCCCCAGGAGGAACCCAGGAGCCACTACACTAGCGTAAGGTCTGACAATGGGTCCAAGGATTTCACCCAGATACCTAATGGCAGTCAGGATGCTAATTTCTAGCCCAGTGGTCTCCAAACTGCAGTCCTTTACTTGCCTTTATCTGGCCCTTGGGATTGTAGAGGTCTGTGTGTCCCTCCATGGATATGCCTCCCCAGACCATCACTGACCCACCACCAAAACAGTCATGCTGAATGATGTTACAGGCAGCAGAACGTTCTCCACGTCTTCTCCAGATCCTTTCAGGTCTGTCACATGTGCTCAGGGTGAACCTGCTCCCATATGTGAAAAGCACAGGGCGCCAGTGACGGACCCGCCAATTCTGGTGTTCAATGCCAAATGCCAATTGAGCTATATGGTGCCAGGCTGTGAGCACAGGGCCCGCTAAAGGACGTCAGGCTCTCAGGCCATCTTCATGAAGTCGGTTTCTGATTGTTTGGTTAGAGACATTCACACCAGTGGCCTGCTGGAGGTCATTTTGTAGGGCTCTGGCAGTGCTCATCCTGTTCCTCCTTGCACAATGGAGCAGATACCGGTCCTGCTGCTGGGTTAAGGACCTTCTACAGCCTGTATCCTGGAATCTTCATGCTCTAGACTGTGCTGGGAGACACAGCAAACCTTCTGGCAATGGCACGTATTGATGTGCCATTCTGGAGGAGTTGGACTGCCTGTGCAACCTCTGTAGGGTCCAGGTATCACCTCATGCTACCAGTAGGGACACCGACCCTAGCCAAATGAAAAACTAGTGAAAAAAAGTTAGAAAAGATGAGTAGGAAAAAAATGTCAGGGGCCTCCACCTGTAAAAACATTCCTGTTTCGGGGGTTGTTTCATTGTTGCCCATCCAGTGCACTTGTTAATTTCATTAACACCAAAGCAGCTGAAACTGATTAACAACCCCCTCTGCTACTTAACTGACCAGATCATTTTCCCAGGAGTTTAAATGAGATATATATATATATATACACACAAAATACATAATTGCATATATTATACAGTCATGAATTGTTGGCACCCTTGATATTTCTCCAGGAAATCATGTATTTCTCACGAAACGTATTGCATTAACACATGTTTTGCTATACACATGTTTATTCCCTTTGTGTGTATTGGGACAAAACAAAAAAAGGGAGGAAAGAAAGCAAATTCGACATAATGTCACACAAACCTCCAAAAATGGGCTGGACAAAAGTATTGGCACCCTTTCACAACTGCGGATAAATAAGAATGTTACAAGCATGTGATGCTCCTGTAAACTCACCTGGGGCAAGTAACAGGTGTGGGCAATATAGAAATCACACCTGAAAGCAGATAAAAAGGAGAGACGTTCACTTAACCTTTGCATTGTGTGTCTGTCTGTGCCACACTAAGCATGGACAACAGAAAGAGGAGACGAGAACTGTCTGAGGACCTGAGAACCAAAATTGTGGCAAAATATCAACAATCTCAAGGTTACAAGTCCATCTCCAGAGAACTAGATTTGCCTTTGTCCACAGTGCGCAACATTATCAAGAAGTTTGCAACCCATGGCACTGTAGCTAATCTCCCTGGTCGTGGACGGATGAGGAAAATTGATGAAAGATTGCAACGCAGAATAGTCCGGATGGTGGATAAGCAGCCCCAAACATGTTCCAAAGACATTCAAGCTGTCCTGCAGGCTCAGGGAGCATCAGTGTCAGCGCGAACTATCCGTCGACATTTAAATGAAATGAAACGCTATGGCAGGAGACCCAGGAGGACCCCACTGCTGACACAGAGACATAAAAAAGCAAGACTACAGTTTGCCAAAATGTACTTGAGTAAGCCAAAAGCCTTCTGGGAAAACGTCTTGTGGACAGATGAGACCAAGATAGAGCTTTTCGGTAAAGCACATCATTCTACTGTTTACCGAAAACGGAATGAGGCCTACAAAGAACAAAACACAGTACCTACGGTAAAATATGGTGGAGGTTCAATGATGTTTTGGGGTTGTTTTGCTGCCTCTGGCACTGGGTGCCTTGACTGTGTGCAAGGCATCATGAAATCTGAGGATTACCAAAGGATTTTGGGTCGCACTGTAGGGCCCAGTGTCAGAAAGCTGGGTTTGCGTCCAAGATCCTGGGTCTTCCAGCAGGACAATGACCCCAAACATACGTCAAAAAGCACTCAGAAATGGATGGCAAAGAAGCGCTGGAGAGTTCTGAAGTGGCCAGCAATGAGCCCAGATCTAAATCCCATTGAACACCTGTGGAGAGATCTTAAAATTGCTGTTGGGAAAAGGTGTCCTTCCAATAAGAGAGACCTGGAGCTGTTTGCAAAGGAAGAGTGGTCCAAAATTCCGGGTGAGAGGTGTCAGAAGCTTATTGATGGTTATAGGAAGCGACTGATTTCAGTTATGTTTTCCAAAGGGTGTGCAACCAAATATTAAGTTAAGGGTGCCAATACTTTTGTCCAGCCCATTTTTGGGGTTTTGTGTGACATTATGTCATATTTGCTTTTCTGCCTCTGTTTTATATTTGTTCCAATACATACAAAGGGAATAAACATGTGTATAGCAAAACATGTGTTAATGCAATACCTTTTTTGTGTGAAATACTTGATTTTCAGGAAAAATATCAAGGGTGCCAACAATTTCGGCCATGACTGTATGTATGCAACCTTTCTATGCTAATTAAATCGGCATTAAACCCGAAAGCAAATATTTAATAGCAAGGCAGCTTACAAATTCTTAGAAGTGACGGCTGCATACGTATTCTTGTTTAGGCTTTCTTTCTTTTATTTCCACCTGGTGGTGTTTGCTGTTTGTCAAGAGACTATTCATGTGATGTCCTGCAATAGCTGCA